ATGATTCTAGCAAGGTCCACTCGCTCCGATCGAGCGACTCTTGGCGAGCTGTCAACGAGGTCTCTGCTCAAGTACTTCAACCACTGCAACGACCGAGCAAACGAAGGTGGCTCATCTTTGAACAAGGACTGTGTGTTCAGCTCAGGGATCCAAAAGTCTCTATCCAGACACTGAGTGCGCTGAAAAAGCTTCCAGCCGACCTCTAACCACTCAGAACAAAGAAAACCGATCCTCGGGACCACGAACCGCGTCCCGACCCGTTTTCGCTCGACTTTCGTTTGCCAGGCTACTCCAAAAAGCCCTTCGTCCTTAAAGGAGAGCTCGAGCGGCTTGACATGAACTCCGTCGTCGAACCTGAGAGAGGCAAAGATCAAGCAAAGGATCCACCAAATGAACAAGCGAGCAGCCAGAGGACGATCCTCATCACACACGAAAAACTCCAGCTCTTTCACGACCGGCATAGGGATGGGGACCGCCTCTTTGAGTGTTGTTGCCCGCTCGCTAAGAACTGAAGCTTGCAAGGCTAAGAACCGATGATCATCAAAAGCAGGTGGGTCGATTGCCAGCTTGCTACAAATCCACTTGATGGCCGCTCTCAGAGTCGGAAGCACCGATGGTCCACACGAACGACCGTTCAAAAACATGCCATATTTCAGAACCTTGTCGATCGACAACGGGTGAACGACCATGCCCACGGCGCTTGCCCATTTCTCGAATCGTTCGAACGTGCGAACATGCCCCGCCATGGTGCGATGTGCACCTGAGACCAAAACCAAGTTCCTGAGCTGCGTCTTCTCAGCGGCCGACAAGTTCGGACCTAGGTGTGCCTCTTGAAAAAGCTTGGCATGTTCACCGGCACGAACACCAATCTCCTCAAGCCGAACGGCCCAACGTTTCTTCTCAGACCTCTCCTTGTCGAGAAGGGGGGTTGAGGATGATGAACTATCCTGAGCCGCTGTCTTGGCCCGCTTGGGCTGAACCATGGGTTTGGCGGTCAGGTTGGCGATCGCCGATCTCTTCCTGAGTGAAGCGGAAGGATCCACGCCATGGGTTTGGCGGTCAGGTTGGCGATCGCCGATCTCTTCCTGAGTGAAGCGGAAGGATCCACGGACGAGCTCGATGAGGGTCCGACCAATTCGCACAACCCAAAACCTAGCTGAAGAGCAGTCGATTCAAAGTATGCCTTCTCGATCGACATGGATAGGGTCCAAAACTGCTCCAGCATAAGTTCACGACCGTGAAAAACTCCAACGACAGACTCGTCCCACGATCGTCCAAGCCCATACACTCTCTCCACGAAGTCCGAACTGGACTCAGCCTCCATGGCCGAGACGAACGCCACCGAATTCAAAGGCGTTTTCTTGATGGCCTGGGCGAATGCGGCATCAAACGGGGAGATCTAGGATCTTGGACGTCCACCGATCGGTGGTGAACATGTTGGTCAACCACCTGATCATTCTTGAGCCTAGTCGTCTCACAAGCACTTCGATCGAAATGACTTCGCGTCATGATCAAATGCGAACGAACATGCAAATCAACTCTCGATCAATCGAACATGCGACACCTCTCAGTAGCAGAACCTCAAAACCTAAGTAGAAAAAGAGGAGGCCACCGAGAGGGAGAGGGACACCACTAGAGCTAGTAGCAGGGACACTCCAGGCCTAGAACGGTCAGCTCCCTTGAACAAGGTGCCGACGCAGAACGGCGAGTGCGCCCCTGAGCCCCCACGACCGACTTCCCATCTGAGAATCTTGCCTCACGCGAGCCGGTATCACGGCCGAAGCACACGGCCGAACGGCGTGATCGAATGTCAACTCAAATCAAACTAATATCTAAATCTATAGAAGCAGTTGAAAAATAAAATCGAACTCAAATGAGCATTCGCTGCCACTCCAAACTTTCAGCTCTGATGACGACTCATCTCGATCGAATCCAATCGAGAGCGGTCAATCAAATTCCAAATTCAAATTGAAAATTGTGATCACACTTCCGTGACCTCGTCCGGCTTCACAGGCTTGAACGATCTTGGTCCAGCCTGGCCCCCGTCTGGGCCATCCTCAACAATCTCATTGATCCGGACTGATGAGGTCCACTGGCGATCTGGCCCACCCGCACCACGCCATCCGCTGCCGTAGTTGCGAGCCGCCTCCACGAAAGCCTGGGGCGTCATGGCCGACTGGTCCAGTGGCTCATTGCGCCTGTGCTCAAGCGAACGTCTTGGCGGAGCAATTGATCCACCAGTCCACGAGCTTGGTGCAGGAGCCTGGCCAGGATCCGTCATCGATGGCTTGGCACTGCTGACTGGCGCAGCAGGGATGCCACGGAAATCGCCCGAGCCTGTCAGAGCTGGCGCTAGCTTCGGAGCACTCTCAAGAGGACGAACAGCAGGGCCTTCCACGATCGGGGGGAGGACATTGGCCATGATCTCTTCCTTGGGATCGTGGTGCTGCAGTGCGAGAGCATCCGCATTCACGATCGCACGCTGATTGCGAAACAAAGGGCTTTCACAGACCAGGTGCATGTTGATCGGGTTGGACTCGACCGCAATGCCCGAGATGCGAGGTCCCGTATCATCGATCGATACTGCCTCGACCTGAGCCGTCCAGTTCGCCGCCAACTGACTGAATTGGAGCGCTTGATCAGGTCCTTCGACTCTGGCTCCATGCTCTCGACACCACTTTGCATTTCTGATCAGAGTAGGGCCGGAGACTCGGCTGATGACCAACCACGAAGAAGGGATCGATGCCGTATTGCATGCGACATCCAAGCGATCGCTGGCAGACCAAAACCGCATTTCCAGGCGGTCTGCATCAGCGCCGAACGCATCCGGCGAGCTGGTTGCCGTGAATCTGCATTCAAAGTGGCACAGCGGATGATCAAGTGCCACAACAACACCTCCTTCAGAGCATGCGTACAAGCGACCGCCAACTTCGAAGGAGATTGCCACCACACGCCAGCCTTGGAAGACCGTGATGACGATGCTTGGGATGAACACGGTATCGTTCAAGATGTTGAAGATGGCGTCAGCTACATGGATCATCTGAATGCTCATATCAGAATCCGAACGGAACCCACGAAGCTCAAGATGAACGAGCAGCTGACCCTCCAACTTCATCTTGATATCAACCCAGGTCGGGCTAGACTCAGTCATGGGCGGCCAGCGAAAGGGCTGAAAAGCCGAGTGGCTGAGCACCTCCCCCGTCGCCGCGTCCCATCGAGCGCAGGGTGCACTTGAGTAGCACGTTGCCGACCCGCAGATGATCACCTTGACACTGTCCAGGGTGCGTACCAGGAACAAGTTGAAATGATAACCTGTCGAGGGTGACTTCACCAGCGATCGATCGGACTTAACGTTGAGGTAAGTCAGAGCATTGGTGAGCACTTCATCGAGCAGCCAATTCTGAAAAGGTGACTGGATCCTTTTGTCACGGTTGTCAATGATCAGAATCGATCGTTCCCCCTCACCTGAACCAATCTGAGATAGATGTTCCGGCAGTGCAGTATTGAGCGGATTGTGACCCAAATTGCCTGGTGCCAAGTTTCCCCACCGATAGGCTCGTCTTCCTCGTCGAGCAGCTTGCTCCTGACGCTCTCTCAAGCGCCTGGATGCAGGAGTCTCGTTCGTGTGGTTGAGAAAGCTCTGTGCTGCCTGCAAGACTGGAGCCGCTGACGAACTTGATGGAGGACCCCCAGGAGGTGGTGGTGGTGGAACAACTTGTGGAGCTGCCGACGAACTTGCCTCAGGCTGAACAGCCTGGCTAGTGCCATCACCTTCTTCACGAACAGGATCCATAGAGGGCTCTGGCCATGGATCCTCCAATGTTGGTTCAGCTTCCAGCTGGACCCACGAGCTGACCGAGCTGGTCTCATCAGCACGACCAGATGCGTTGTACATTTGCCTTCGAAGAGCGGCCGGCATGGCTTTGAACTTGGGCATGGACTTGCTCTTCGGATCCGCCATTGCTCCCAGGCCCTGAAAAGGACGAACAAACCTTGTTCTTGCCTGGCAATGATCTCTCGCCAAAATGGCATCGAGAGAAAACGAAAGTCGATCGATCAAGCTGAACAGCAAACACGAAAGTGCTCCTCCTGTTCCTACCTACCAGACCAACAACATGAGAACTAGCTACTACGACTACCTACTACGACTACCTACTATTACTACTACGACGACGACTACTACTACTACTACTACTACTACTACTACTACCACCTACCACCTACCACCTACCACCTACCACCTACCACCTACTACCTACTACCTACTACCTACTACTTTTTTGATGAAGTCCCAAAAAATGTCTAGGGCTCAGGGCTTATAAATTGTCTTCTGATAAACAAATGTAGAAAACAAAGGGTACACCTCACAAGGGCCGGTCCCCCATCAATAATATGCACTACTACCCCCTATTTGTTTGTGCTTGTTTAAACATATTGTGACTACCACTACCTACTACCTACTACCTACTGCTGCTGCTGCTGCTGCTCCTGCTGCTGCTCCTGCTCCTGCTGCCGCTGCTGCTGCTGCAGCTGCTGCTGCTGCTCTTCTACTACTACTACTCCTACTACTACTCCTGCTGCTACTACTACTACTACTCCTACTACTACTACTCCTGCTGCTGCTACTACTACTACTACTACGAGGACGACGACGACGACTACGACTACCACTACGACTACGGACCTCATGAATGGTACCTCAGACCTTCTAGACCTTCTACAGAGTGTAGACCTTCCACGTGGGGGGGAGGGGCGGTTTATTAATCCGGTCTTCGCATCAATAGCGTCTTTCTTTGCTCCTAGTATGTAAGAAAACAAGTAGCTTCAAAGACCTACTAGTAGCTTCTAGTTACTACAGGTGAACCGATTCCCAAGGAAGCTTCTAGTTACTATTTAGTAGCTTCTTTACTTGTGAGGATATCTACAAGCTCTGTGCTCTACGAGTATAGCACCGACCACGATCACCCGACTCGTCCACCTCTTCTCCGGTGGGAACACGCCTCGTCAGCTGGGCGCGATCCACGTAGCGGCGCAGGAACTCGGTGGGTCCCGGCACCTCCTGGTGGCGTCCGTTGGGGTGTCCCCGGTGGGATGAGCACAGCTGCTTCACCAGGTCGGTCGGATCAACGACGGCGGTCGGTGTGCTGAACACGCGGAGTAGCGCCAGATGTCAGGGTTTCTGCAAAAAGACGGTGATTCTAATCCACTGAATAGGTTTCATGATGTAAATCACTGGCATAAATCATATTTTGAGGATACGGCCCCCGTTGTCTTTGGTGTGGAGTGGACCCGAATAGCCAGTTATATGATACAAGTAGATCCATCATCTAGATCCGTAGTGCTCACAAAGTCCAATTGTCATTGAACACGACAAGAACTCTTCAACATGGACGTGGAAAGGAACTCTGTTTCGAAAGAAACATCTTCTTCCTTTCACGACGGCCTTCCATTAACTTCCTCATGAGCTCTTCGTCCAATGTGTCCACTGCAACGAGCGACCGCGACCTCTTCGCCACACCGAACGAGGCATCCCACGGCATCCGTTCTCCCGTGACGCGGCGCCTGCAAGACGTCCTGCAAGATCCGCACGGAGGAGGAGGCCGAAACAGAGGCTCTGCTTTTGGACAGCGCCTGGCAGCGCCGGGCTTCTTCGTCACAGTAAAATGGTGAAAATCGGCCGGTGATGGCGTGAGAATCAGATGATCTGAAGGAGACTTGTCAGTCTTGATCCAGTGTCAGTAGCTTAGGTTGCCAAGGCATCTCAAATCGCTCAAATGACCTCCACAGAACAGCTCGTCATGTTTTGGTTGTCTTAGCCTTAACTACAACTACAACATGGAAAAAAACATATAGGATAGTAGTGCAGTAGAGCTCCCCTTGAGATCTCAAACACATCAAACACACCGTGAAATCCATCCCAATGACCTTAGCACATGCTTATCATCTAATTGCCCAAACTGGTTGCCCTCGTGCTAAATCTTCAGTGTGCTTCGTTCACTCGAGGGCTTAGTCTTGTGTGAAAAATGCCGTTCCAGTGACAGTTCATCCGTCCATCTCTCCAACAAAAAACGTACAACATCATAGGCATAGCAATACCCCTTACGCTGCGCTCTCGGCTGCGCTGCACCTGCAAATGGCTCAAGTCCTCGTTGTAAGCCTTGGTGGCTTCAGCTCGGACCTCTGCCAAGGTCGCCGGGTCGAAGTACCAGCCTTGGAGATGAGACGAGACGTGCCGTTCGACGGGCCTTGTTTCATCAGGTGGTGATGTAGACCGGTGCACTGGATCGTTTTTCCTGATTGCGACCTTCGGAAGCTGTTGATTTGTCGTTTTGGCAAGCCACTTCAACTGCACAGAAGTCGTTTTACGACGGCTCCCTTGGGCCCCCAAGAATAGATAGACTGACCATGACTGGCCTCTTTGTCACTCTCGTGGTTTCAAAGCGAGCTTATGCTTTCATGCGGGAGACGAAACAAGACGGGTAAGGGTCAGGGCATGAGATTCCGTCAAGAGCTCGTGGGATCTGCTCGTGCTCCAAGCGACCGTAATCCACTGAGAGCTGTTCAAATGCCTCAATGTCTCGTGAAGTCACCTCAGTGGATGAATGACTCACCGGAGCAAAGAAATGGTGGATCTAATGGTGGCTCAGCTCACGTTATCTTCAACTTTTCTGTGTTTCACATGGCCCGGCGGTCTCCTGTCGTCTTCTCATCTTCCGCGACCAAACATATGAAGAATAGAAGCGCATCAGCTCCTATCTTTCGTCCAGAACAATGTTTCTGCTGGAAAACCAGGGATAAAACACATGCAACAAAGTAGGACAATACAGAAACAACGATAGAAACGATCAAAATTGACCGTTTAAGGATAAAAAGCTCAGTAGGACCTTTCAGTTGTTTAAAGCCCTTTTTCCCAGTATATGTTCCATGTGTGTTCCTTATTGTTTTCAATATTTTTTTTCTTCTGAGGATGTCGAAGTCTGTTTAGGTTCAGGTGTTTTTGTCTAATTCATGTCCATTATAGTACCGAACCTGGATAAACTCTTGCATCAATGGTCAACATAATCCTAGTTCTCGTCCATGCACAACATTGGCTGGGAGCTTACGGTCAGCTCAAGAAGTCGATTGAAAAAATGACAAAACAATGAACATCACATCTGAACTAGTCAATCCCAAACGCTCCATATATGCAAATAGTGAAGTGGTCGATCCTATTCCCTCCTTTCAGTGGATGATGATGGTTGGTAAACGCATTGTTCAAGCATAGTGATAATTGTTTACCAACTAGTATTACAGATAATAGGACACACCCAATGCATATATGCCCTACAATTGGTTCTTAACGGTTCTTTTTGCTGAATGTAGGCCACAAAATTGTGCGAAGCATTGGAGTCACTGTCTTAAGCGGATTGAACTACATGTCCATACAGGTCCTCTGCATGTTGCCTACTCTGACCCCAAACAACCACACATTCCCGTGGGGGCTCCTGGCCTACCTCCGTTTCAAAGATGGTTGGGGTGGGTGCCAGGGGGGTCTAGCCACCGAACCTGAGGATATGGTTGGAGCCCTAGGGACACATTTGACACTCTTGTCCATCCTTGCCGACACATGCCGACATCAGTTCCGCTTGCTCAACACAAATGTTCTTATGTTCTTCAAACAAGACACCACCAGCAAACGGCCGTGCTTCTCGAAGCCGGCACCAACGTTCCTCACGTGAATGGAACACCCAGGATCGATTCCAATTGCTGACCAGCTTCAATCTAGTGCTGTCAATGGTCTGTTCCAATGTAGGAAAGTCTCTAATGAAGCCCGTATTGATTGCTGATTGATGGTGGCGGACAAGTGTGCAGAAACCTGGCATTTGTTGGATCCCAAGTTTAAGTTTGGTTCAGATTCAGATGTCCTCCTCCCTCATATATTTGCAGTGTCAGCTCCTGCCAACGCAGTCTAATTCTGCACAAGAAGTAAGGACAGCCACAAAGCCACAAAACCCATACATGCGCTCAGAGGGTTTCTTTACCAGTGCAACCAAGCATCTTGAAAGAACAGTTGGGTTGGCAACTGCAGTTGATGAATCCTCAGTAACATCTTTCAGGCTTCAAAGGAACCCGCTCAAAAAAAGCTGCTTCGATTCTCGAGCAGTGGAAGTTACCGGCCTTTCTGAATCTGAAACTTCTGCTTTACTCATCTGTTGTGTTCGTGCCTGCTTCTGATTTTGGCATCTTGTTATGAATCCACCAGTCCGAAAACTTTCGAAAACGAAGCAGGTGGCTTCAAAACGAAGATTTCGGACTCTGCTCTGGTGGATTCACCATGAGTCTCATCGTCTCAAGATGTCTGAAGATCGACGGGACAACCTGGCTGCTAACAGGTCACCTGGCTGGACAACCGCACACTGAAAAGGTCTCCAAACAGGGCACACCCACACTACCTGTGTCGTGCTGTCTGTATGTGTCGTGACCTGTGTCGTTTGTGTAGAGAAGCTTTGCTTGCTCCAGCTGTGAAGTCGCAAGCAATCTGAAGATAAAGACCTTTGGAGGCCTTGGCCCTGAACCGAAGGTTTTTTGTCCACCAAGGCTCAAAAGGCACTGATCAAAACTGAATGCATACTGAAATGTGAGGGCCATTCAAGTCAACAACCAGTGGCTTTATAAAGTGTTCAAAACTCTTAATGAACAGAACAACTCACTTTCCGAAGAAGAGTGAAAGGTAAAGGATGGTAATTATCCCGTTTGGGCTCCTGGCCCACCTCCGTTTCAAAGGTATTGGGGTGGGTTTAGGGGGTCTAACCACCGAACCTGAGGATATGGGCCAAGAGCCCTAGGGTATGATGGTAAAGCTTTGTTTCCCCCTTCACCAGGCATTAACTGGAGGCCCTCAGCCACGTCCATCCGAGCGGCGCATGGCGTTGCCCTTGGCAAAGGCGTCGATGACGACGCCTTCCCCACCGCCGATGCCTGGCAGCGTCTGCACCAGCGTCCCCCAGGCGACCGGAGGTGTCTACCCCGTCCAACGGCGAGCCAAATGCGGCCTGACATCGTCATTCGTGGCGGTGGTCTTCTGCGCGATGTCCAAATGCGACACCCGCAACCAACCCACCCGCAAATGTGGGGGTCGCAACTGATCGGTCAAGATATGGAATATTCCAAACAGGTGGTGTCTGGAAATCACAACCAAGGGACTCGACCGGCGTCGGCCATCAGGAACCGGAACATCGACCGACCTGGGTTCCGTTTGGCGGGGGTGGAAAGGGTTGAGCCAGAAACACCCACGGAAAAGACGGCCCAGCCGGAAGGCTACAAACATCAGAAGATGAAGATTGACCATGATTGAGGCCACAGTGTTCATATTAAAATCTATCAATGGTCCTGGGGGCTGCAAAAGAACTAAGACTTCTCAGTCACTGATGTCCACTTGCAGTGTCCATACTTTTCCATACTCAAGCGAGCTCTTTCTTAATGTATATATACTGTTGATTATGAACCCGCCCATATATGACGAAGGCATATTTTACATTCATGTTTCTGCGTTTAATTTTTATAGATCGCTATTCAGTACCATTAAGAGTCTACATGACTGTACTTCAAGACCCCGTTCCGAAGACACTTTCGTCCCGTCCCAGTTGCATGCCTGCCCAAGCTGCGTAGAGCTCCTCTAAAATAAAGGGCGACGCGGAAGACTCCGCACCACGCCGCGCGACTTTGCGCGCCTCAGTTTGGGGATTTTAATGGTATGAACTTGATTTTAAGAACGGTAATATGGATTTCATGTGTCAACAAGAACCTGATTCACTGATTGACCTCATCATCCTTCGCAAACAATCTCAAACAATTTAGTATAGTACAGTATAGTACATACAGCTGTGCTTTGCGCCAATGACCTCTCAATGACTGGCTCATGCTTTCTAAAGAACTGTCTTACTTATAGTCTTAATTCGCAGGTCGTGGGACCGACAGCTTCATGAATCAAGCAATGAAGAGCTCATCTAGTCCTGTCTATCTATATCAAACACCAATATCATCTATTTTCCATATATGATAGTACATGGGCGTGTTTACCCGAAGTATGAAAGGACTTCGCAAGTTGCCTTATGTACACATGTGTATGCGTGTTTGGCAAGTCTGGAATTGCGAGAATATTTGGAAAAAATGAACATTCATTGCTGATGTTGAATCCTTTTAGGACAATGCAAAAACCTCACCTTCCATGTTCTCATTCTTGGATCTGTCCTCCTTGTTGTTCATCCTTCGCTGACCCTTCGGTCAATCTCCTACCTTCCCCTGGTGTCCTTCCTTATTCGCGGCCATCACGCCTGTTCAACCCGTCACCGGTGCCGACTCCAGCCTCCCATGCGACTGCCGACTCCTGGTGCTCGCCTCATCACACGACTCTGGGGGCCCCGAACCTTGATCTCTTCACACCAAAGATCATATCTGCGGGCCTCACCCGTGTATTCCCCCAAGCGCTGTCCCGCTTGTAGAGGACGCATGGCCTTAGCGGACGGATGGCGCGGTTCCACCAAGGTGTCCACCACGGCGAGTTGAATGGCCGGAGCTCCGTGAGCGAGCGAGCAATCGTGCGAAGAGCAAGGTGTGGTTTCCGGCGGAATGCGGAGCTCGAAGTGCACGGTCTCCGATCGATCTGGACGTGTCATTTGTCTTGTTATGTAATTTGGAAAAAGATAAACTGATTGTTCCCATGCAATCCCCGAAATCACAATGGTTGAGTCCGAGAAGCGATGGAGTCACTTCTCAGCGATGGAGTTGTGCCTCTTTCACTTCACCAAAAATGCTTCGATTCTCGAAGCCACCTCCATTTCGATGCCACTGTCAACTATTGAGGGGCCACATTCGGAGCACCTGTCAAAGGTCGAATGGGCTGATCCGAGCACCCTCCATGGGTCCTTTGGGGGTCGCCTCCCCGGCCGCCACTCCCCAGCGAAACCGTAGCTTACTGAAATCGAATTAGCTGGGTCAATGTTCACATCAACCACCATATGGCCATATGGTTCACATTCAGCCCCACTCTCTGTCAGTTGCAGTTGGATCGTCCTCAGTCAAGGATGACCCGCAAACCCGGTGAACCTTGAAACGATCCTCCAGAAGTTGTCAGTGGGAACAGCTACGATGAACTACTAGGATGAACTACTACCCATTCCCCCGCAGCTAGACACTAATCTTCAAAACTGCTATAAAACCTATACAATGTTAATCAATTTTACAACTACAATGAACTGAGACTAAGACTATATATGTTATAAACACAAGAAACCAATCTTCAAAAGCACCATGTCCGCAGCGCCATGGTGCTTTCTCCGCAACGGCAGCGCCCCAATTCCCTCCGAGCCACGAACACACCATGTCCGCAGGGTGGCGCGGGTGCCACCAGCAGCGCGGAGGACATGCTGGGCATCGCAACGGCAGCGCTGGGAGCACGGAGGCCTCTCAGGCGAAGAGCACGCTTCGCGGAGTTGAGCGGAGTTGAGCGAACGCGACAGAGGTTCTTGATCTCCAATTTCTAGAAAGTCCCATGACTTTCAAACACAAAAACATGACTCTCTAGCCACACGCCTTGGTGTCATCTTGATTCACCGTCATCAACAGGTGGCGGGAAAACCTTCGAACCCACCTCGCCCCCTCGCGTCTCTTCCATCACTTCGCGTCTCTTCCCTCACGTCTCCCCCGCAGCCGTCGGCATACTCGTTGCCGGCCAAAGGCTGCACGCCGCGTATCGCTGAGGCCGGCGTGGGGAAGTGCAGACCCACCGCGCGGCTCCAGCCTCGTGCGGGAGGTTGCCCGGCGGAGAGTATTGCCAACGAATGCGCGGTTTTACAAGCGCCAGCCTTGTCGCAGTGTCATTTTTCGTTGAAGTTTTGAAGTGTCCGATTTTGCTACATCTGGTCATCTGGTAAGATTAACTATTGAAGGATGAGGGGTTTACCAGGTCTTTTGGGCTGGTAGGGACAGAATTCGGCATTGACCATGTGGTTTGTTCGCAAATTTTGGTCATTGTTGTTCACGGAAACAACCACCTCTGTGATACACCTTTTTTGCGAAACAAATGGATATAATGATATATGATATATGTTTGCGCATAAAAAGCCTATAGCCGTGGTGAACCTCCACAATGCATATTATATATATATATGTTTGGCCCATCCCTGTCTGATCTGATTCCCTACCCCAACCGATAAACATCAGAATCACCTTGTACCCGATAGGTTCCTGCTACCTGCGAGGGATGGGTCCACATCCTCCTTTTCTGTCTTCAACGTTATGCATTAGTGATCCAAAGTAGAAAGAACAACAAGAAAATACGACACCCTGAAACACTACATGTTCATTGGACATCCTTAAACCATTAACATCCATTAACCATTGGACACTGTCGAAGAAAGAACATTGGCAGAAGCTCTGTATATATATGTAAATATATAATATATAATATATAATATAATATATACCGGCCCTTAAAGGATCCCCTCAGCAAAACAATCAAATGAAGCCATTCTCAAGATGCATCGTGATCGTGCTCGTGAGCCTGCTCCAGAGCATTGGGCATGGGATGGCATGGGGATGGCGAGAAGCTTGTGTCACTCGAACAACCACCCAAGGCAGTCCTCCAGGTCTGCCTCAACTAGGAAAATGACAGTAACAAGAGAAAACAAACAAACACACAAACGAACGAACGAAACAAACAAACAAACAAACAAGCACAAGCACAAGCACCAGCACAAGCACCAGCACCAGCACCACCACCACCACCACCACCAACAACAACAACAACACAAACACAAACAGCAACAACAACAACAACACCAACAAGAAGAATAAAAACCAAAAAAACAAGAACAAGAACAAGCCACTCATCAGTGCTCCTTGGAATTGAGCTTATTGGGAACCATCCACTGGAGGTTCTCACCACCTGGACAACACCGTCCCACGTCACTTCTCCAGGCCACGCTGTCCCTCGGGGCCCAGCTCCGTCGCGTCCAAGGTGTTCAGCGCCTCGATCGGCGTTCGGTGGTCGACCATCGAGGAAGTCCAGGTTTTTTGTTGAAGCGAAACGAAAGCGAAGAACGAGGAAGTGGATGAATCAACGTCTTCGAAATTGGATGGTGAAAATTCTCCCAAAGGAGGGAGCTTGCTTCAAAACAAATCAACAGTCCACATGACCCTATGACCTACCACTTGGTATCGAAATGGTTCCGGGATATCTGCTTCAGAATTGCGGTCAGAACTTCCTCAGAAGCGGAGCGTTCCCTCTGGCCTCTGCCAAGGGCTCCGACTGCCAGTGCTGTCGCAAGGACGCTAGAGCTTCTTCCGTCTGCTGCGCCGGCGCTTTCAACGGTGCAGCTCTGGGCGTCGTCTCCCTGAGAACAGCACAGAGGGGAGAGTGGGGTAAAGGTGGAGCAGAAAATGGTGGGATGAAAACGATAAATCTCAAATGCTAAGTACAATATCAACAATCTTATCTTGGGTTTCCACGGACCATGTTCCACCATGTTCCACCCTGGAGGTTGGTGATCGTGTGTGGGTCCCAAACAAGTACGTCCTGAAACAACTAGTTAAGACCCAAAGCAGAGGATTGGGATGGATTTGGCCTTTTTGAGTGGTAGAATGTGGTGGGTCACAGATTTTACTGACCTTACTCTTGAGATCTGGTATTTGTTCATTCTTTATCAACCGGCCTCCCTAAACTCGACTTGGGCCCATCTCCGCTCCACCGGATTCCTTGACCAACCTCGACCAGGCTCGACCTGGTCGTGGCTCGACCAGCCGTCCGCACCGGCCGTCCCCGCCCCCCGTGGCCTCGACTCAGACATCGCGCGTTTCATGCGGCGGGTGGAAGGCGGAGGCGACGCATGAGACTGAGGTGCTCGGCAGTGGCGTTACATGGATCACTGGTGTCTCCATCTGCAGTTGAGATCCTTTTGTTGTTAGCTTTGCTCCAGATTTCCACTCAGTCGCGTGAGTGTTGCTGGCGGTGGGCATCTCAACCGACACCAATTGGACACCAATTGGATAGATACTCTGATTGCATGGTGCAGTATCAACAAGGACTTCTCTTATCTTCATGGTTTACTGGTGCCACATGGGCCCTGGGCCCTGCGACATCCAACTCAAAGATGCCGCAAGCGTTGAACATAGACCAGCATATATACAGTGTATATATATATATACAGTATACTTGTGTCTGATGTGTATAGACGTTTTTTCAATATGCAACAAGGGATGGACATCTCACTCTTCTGGGATTCCATGTTCGACCTGCTAAGAATGGTTGTATGGTTGCTGGAAGACAAGTTCACGCTACTTCGATGTAGGCTTTGACCCAAGACAGCTACAGCGAAAATGCACCAGGACATATCAGGAATCCAGAGAAAACACACAAGTATCACACTGCCACAGAACAAACACCAAGGACAATGTCTCTAAGACAAAGGACACAAAGAACCTGTGTCTGATGCCCCCCGGCAACAACGTGTTTCCGGTTCCCAACATTCCCGTCGCCCCAACTGCCAGACAATCTGACGACGTCCTAAATACTTGCTCAGAACGTATATTATATATATACGGTATGTACACACATATATATATATATATTATATATATATATGTTACTAATTATATGGCATGAACCTTTGTTCACTGGGCATGCCATGTCTGCAGAGTTGCCTCTGATCACTCCTTTTTCTCCACTCACGTCGCATGAGAGGCAAGATTTCAGACACTTAGATCGGAGGCGTTTCAGCGAAGTGGTGTGCATACAAGCGAGCCAGGACCCGAGCTGCTGGGTAGAAACAGAGCTGAAACACTCCGACTAGTGGGGATCGGTCCAATGGTCAACCCACCTTCACAAAGGAATTCTCCTGCCTTTGGAGGCCATCGCTAGTAGGTTGGAGGGCCGCTAGGATGGAGGTCCTCGGCCACGCGCTGAAGCGCAGTGCCAAACATCTCAGCATTACATCTGCGAAGGTCGCAGGTCGAGGTTGGACGCCAAACGATCCACCTCGGAGGGCTGTGGCCTGGGTCGAACTCTCTGATCCTTTTTCGCTCCCAAAGAGAACCAGGCCGCGTTTATGATGCTTGATTCGCGGACACGCCGAACACCGATTGAAATGCGCAGAGAGGAAGAACCAGGAAAAACATGAAAAAACTGGGAAGACCAGTGGAGAGGTCGACAAGACAAAGCAATTGGTCCCTCCTCAGGACAACCATCTGCGAAGTAAAACTTCTGGTTCGATCTGCTAGTCATCCATCTCTACATCTGGTCATCCATCGATCTCATTGAATCAAATTGTTATTTTGCATGTTTTTCGGAGAAACCGACCACCCACCCTCAAAAATCCTGTGCACGTAGGAGCTCCTACTTCAGAGACTTCGACCATCCGGATGATATCAACCATCCCGCCACCAAAAATCCATACTGTACATCGCGTTTCGCTAAACCCGGGGGGGTTTTGGTCTTCCAGCGAACGCGTGCTGGTGCATTGCGGAACCGTCTATTGCGGCTAGTGGTGCATTGCTGTTTCCACAAAACAGTGTCTACTTACGTAGAAATGGCAAACATGCTGGCATCATGCCATTTGGGGGGATCAATGGATCCCAAGTCTGGCGTCCAAGGTGTGATCCGTAACAACCAATCCCTGTCAATGCAGGTATACACTCATACCGTGGCTCATACCACATTATAGTCATATGATGTAAATGCCGCTGTGAATACATCGACCATGTCACTGTATTTGACAGCACCCACGCAAACAAGAATCCTATCCAAGCAATCTGGTTTCCATTTCGACAGGTCCACTCCGTACACGATCCTTACATTCGCTTGACGACTGGTGTTTTACGTCGCACTTAGTGGCACCAAATCCCGCAAATGGCTCCTGACGACGTGGTGAAACAACGACTTTGCTTGATTTCTGCTCCTGCCTTTGTCTGCTGCAAAGAAGGTCGAAAGACATTATATAATTGAATTGAATTAAATTGAGTTTATTCGGTTTATTACTTTCTTGTCGTCATTGCCCCACAAATGAAGACCTACAAGACTTCCTTGCCCTGAATGTGGATCTGAACGAACCAGAGCAGTCGAGACGCCCCGCCAAGGCATTGCTGGAGTTTATGGAACAATCCGATAAAGGCTTCTCAACTCCTCTAGCCAGGCTTTGCTTGTGTACACCCATCTCACATATGATCAAACCCCAAAAAATGAACAGAATACTGAATACTGAATACTCCAGACACCAGAAACAACACCTCCACTGAAAACCGACCTGCGAGCCACATGCTAGGTGGTCTTGAACATCCATCGCCTTCCTCGGACCGCCAGTTCGTGACCTCGGAGACACGAGCTCTTTCTATGTGAAGTAAGCTCTTTAGGGGACGACGAGTGATTTTAACCTCACATCCAAGGTGGAATGTAGATTGATGAATAAAACGCAACTCCCCATATGCAAAGGTTCAAGTTGAATGATGTTTACATATTTTCCACAAGGGGGGTTTAACAAAAAATGAGGAGGCGCAAAGCCGTCTCAATCGATAAAGACAAGTCAGGTCTACCTGCAGGTCCCATGTCGTTCGGAAAAAATCGTTGACACATTGTTGCATTGTTCCTCTTTCGACCCGGTTTAGCGCTCCGAAGCGCTCGGCTTCACCCGAGCGCGAGCGCATCGACTCAGGAGCTCTGCAGCACGGAATGCCTAGTCGACACCGCAGCGTGGTGGTCAAAGTCGACACCGCGGGGAGAGGGTGAGACAAAAAAAATTGCGATGGCGGTTACAGTATAGGAAACATGGGTCGGAGTGAAGAAGAGAGCTTAACGTTCAGCAAGTCTGCATTGGATTTCCAAGATAAGAGCCTATCCTGGCCATTCCTGGCCTATACAATTTGTTCACTTCCTTTCTACATTATGCCGCAACAAGGTCCCAAAGGAGCTCAGATTCCTCGAGATTGTTGCAACATGTTGCAACCCTCATTGGCCGCACCCGGACTGGTTGCTCCACCACGTCGAAAGGCGGGTGTCGCACCATGTTCTGGCTTGGTCTTCGCACAAAGATGACATCGGTGGCCGCTGATCGGCCCAAAGAACCCCAAAGAACTCAAAAAGAACCGGCATCTTCTTGATGTTTCACTTCGGCCTGACCCAACCTTTTTGTTGAGCAGCCGACCGATCCTTCGGCCATGTCAACAGCGTGAATCGTTTCCCTCAAATCGTTTCCTTCAACAGCGTGAAGCCTTTCACTCACCCGATCACCAGACCGATTCACCGGATCCAGTTCGGTGTTCAGATCGAGCGAGCGAGCGAGCCCCGGGTGGTTCGGTACAGATCGAGTGGTACGTGATGCACGCAGCAGTAAAAGCGGAACGGAGCAGTTAAAGCTTCAAACATCTAACATCGCGCATTCTTCACAACCAGTCCTGTTTCTGGGTTTTCGACCGGAATTTCGCACGGGTCGTAATGGTAACGCGCTGGTAAAGGAAGGCCTAAAGGACTTGATGATGCCCAAAGATGTGGCCTCGGGCCGCAGGCGCCGCAGGAAGATCAGGGACAGAAACCACTTCTTCCAGGAGGATCGGTCTTTTGGTCCCAGGTGACCAGCCTCAAAATGGTCACCAAGGTGCAGGATTTGTCCAAAACAAGCCAAATTCATGATTTTCAGGTGTCGGGTGTAGATAGACATGAGAATGATTATTTCCAAAAACACAATTATTAGGCCAAGGGAAGCCTAGGGGTCATGTTTAGTTACTACAAACATTCCGTGGCTGACCCCACTGAGTGGTCATGAGTGGACACGAGTTTCAGGGGCGACAGGGGGGTTCTGTTGATCGTGGTCTTCCAGCATTTCTGACCCAACCAAACAGGTGCACCAGACGCACGTCCGGTCCTTTGTTGCAAACGTCCTGTCCTCAGCCCTTGTGCATTGGAGTGTGATCCATTCGTATCCCTCTGCGCAAAAAGAGTCTGAGGACGGTGCCTGCATCATTGACAGGTACCGATTCTGATAGGCGATGCATTCCTGGAACGAGACCTTGCTGAGAGACGTTTTGAAGGGCACGGAAACCCATCTGCTGCTGCGAGAAGCCCAAAGCTATTTCCTGTTGTAATTGTTTAAAGCACTCTTTGGAAGAGAAAGCAAAATGGTTCCGCAGCGTTGTCCAAGGGCCAGGCACGCATCTGTTTCACAAGAGAAGGCGGCCCTCCAATCACTTGCTCTACAAAAGCCTGTAAACAGAGATACGTATTTTTCTCAATTGAACGAACATGTTATCTCCTTTCACACGCATCATCCAGGAACTCCAAATGGATCAAATGTAATGGTTGTTAAAACGACAGTGACATGTTTCACTAAAAAACGGATGCCCGGCATCCTGCGTAAGTTTAAAAGAAAAGCATGCTCAGGTCGGCTTCAAGAAGGTGCCAAAAAGATGCCACTCCCTGCTCCCTGATATCAAATGCTACATCGGTGTGTACCAATAGGGAGACCTCCGATCACCCTGGGTAGACTGGTCTATCTTCCGAACTGAACCCACGGGGGTCCCGTTGGGACGAATGGCTCTGGCCCAGTCGGTTAGTGCGGAAACTCTCCCAGTCCCAGTGCCATTGGTTCCAAAAGGTGTGGACAACTCCTGAACATCCACCTGAATGAAAGGTTTCTAATATACTTTAGGGCTCCAACTACCTCCGTTTCGATGATGGTTGGGGTGGGTGCCAGGGGGGTCTAACCAAGTGAGGATATGGTTGGAGCCCCCGGGTATATAGTTTCTACTTGTCCTGTGCTATCTCGTGCGTGAACCTGAAAACTGACTCCAATGACGCATTTCAGGCCACGCTGTGATCCATCTCTTCTCAACGTTGAGGGGGCCAATATGGGCCAATCCATGGTTGATT